TCTCTTGGATCCTCTCCACCACCTCCAGGCTCCCTCGGCGCAGCCAAGGGTAAATAATTAAAATCACGGGAACACGCGCCGATTCTTAGTCGCACGCGTCGCGAACTTTCCAATGGAGGAGCTGAGCTGAAAGAGCGGGGATCCCTGTCACAAGGCAGCACATCCACTCGCTGGCCCGCTCTCGGACGATTTCTGTGCCGCAACCCTGTTAGCTTGACGATACCTCTCCACCTCCATTGGAATTGACCGCTCGGCTGAGATTCTGCCTCACGGGCGTGGGTTAAAATGTGTTAAGGCGATATCTGTATATATGTAGCTTCAATATCCTTTCAATCTCTTGTTCTGCATCCATCTTCATCTTCTCCTTCATTTGAATGCTTTGTCGAATGCCAGTCCATTGTCACATTCAGCCTTCAACAAATTCCCCTAACTATTAACATTCACAAATCCCCACCTCCCTGATTAAGCCTCCCTCTGTTTTCTGAGAGCTTTCTACGACATATTATAACGCGCCTGAACACCCCTTCACGCCATGCCTTCTCTCCGCACAAACCTAGAGAAGCTCGCCGTCGAACAAAACCCCAACGCCAAGCGCCAGAAAAGCAGCAGTCCAGAGATTGAGGCTGTCCTGGAGCTGCCCCCCCTACCCGCAGCTGTCAAAGATTTTGCCCAATATTTATCCAATGCAAAGGACACGCCGGTGCCTGAGCTTCTCGAGCCGTATCACGCCTACGAGGCGGAGCTCAGGAAGTTCTATGCCCAGCAGCCGGATGACCCGGTCCTGAAAGATGGACACATCAATATGGTCCCCATCTTTGCTGGGCAGGAGTCGTCTCTGAAGGTCCGCGCGCGCAAGCTGGACGCTGAGACGGACGCTGAGAAGGAAAAGTATATTATGGGCCTCAGCAAGGCTGATCGTAAGCCCGACGGATCTCCAGCTGTGGTTACATCCTTGAAGGAGTTCCAGAGCAACTTCAACCTCTTCTCCGAATCGTCATTGAGCGAACTTGACTGGAGCAATGTTGTTGCTGCAGGGAGTTCTGTTACGACTGCGCTTTTGCCCGTCCCGGAGAAGTGGTCTGGAAGCAAGAAGAGCTTGAGGGAGTACTATCATGATCGGCTTGCCCCGGCGAGTGATGTGGATCTCTTCCTCTATGGACTTAATGAGGAGGAGGCACTGGAGAAGATTAAGCACATTGAGACAGCGGTTAAGGACAGTGTTCTTCACGAAGTAACGACTATTCGCACGAAGAACGCCATCACTATTGCCAGTCAATATCCGACTCGGCACGTGCAGATTGTCCTGCGTCTCTACGATTCCATCTCTCAGATTATCACTGGTTTCGATGTTGACTGTGCCTGCGTTGCATACGATGGCAACGAGGTCTATGGCAGTCCTAGAGCGCTTGCGGCGTTTTCGACTCAGACCAATACTATTGACCTTACTCGTCGATCACCGTCGTACGAGAATCGCCTCTCGAAATACTCTCACCGCGGATTTGAAGTCCATTGGCCTGACCTTGACCGCTCGCGCGTCGACCCCACCATCTTTGAGAGGGCATTCCGGAAGACGCTTGGTCTTTCCAGACTTCTAGTCCTGGAAAAGCTTCCCCAAACAGTGGACCGCGAGAGATATACTGACGAGAGGCGCAAAGAGAGAGGTCGCCCCGCTGTTGACAGACACGTCAGAGACCAGCATAAGCTCTTTGGAAATATTAAGGATGAGCAAGAGGACGAAGTTGCCGACTGGGCCGAAGAAGACCAGGTTTCCAACTACCACACCATGGTTGTGCCGTATGGAAAACGATTTACTGCACGCAAAATTGAACGAGTGCTGTATACCAAGGATCTCCTCCTCAACTCGGAATGGAATCGCCCCAAGGAGCGCGAGGTTGACCTGCATCGTCACCCCTGCTTCTTCGGCACTGCTGAGGATGTTTTGGGAGATTGCTGTGGCTTTTGCCCTGTTCCTAAGACAGACGAGGAGATTGAGATTGCAGAGGAAGAGAGCAAGACGTACATCTCAGGATCCCTTACCTTTGTCAAGGATGACCCTGGACGCCAGGAGATTGGTAGCTTCAATCCCATTACCACCGATGACTGGACTGAGATGGCATATGTTGGAAACACCCAAATGCTTTGTCAGGCAATTGTCGATGGCGATATTGATTACATTACGAGCTGGTGCGAGCAGGAAGGCAACGACGTCAACACCAGAGATTATGTCGGAAGGGCGCCTCTTCACCTGGCGGTTATCAATGGACATGCAGATATTGCCAAGGTTCTCATTGATAACGGTGCGAAAATCATCGCCAGACTCCTTGATGGACGTTGTGCTTTGCATATTGCTGCACAACTGGGCCATGCCGATATCATAAAGATCTTGATGGACAAGAGTCTTGCAAATGAAGAGGAAGAGGCAGAAAAGGAGGATAAACTTAGAGCTGCTAAATTGGCCGCAAAGAAATCTAAAAATGACGACGTGGAGATGGAAGATGCCGACGGAAGCGATTCGGAAGGCTCAGGCATGGAGGTTGAGACGGAAGATGATAGTGATAACGACTCGGAGACTCAGGGCTTCACTAAAGTTAAGGAGGCCGCACCTGGAGAGTCGAACGACATACCAGATGATGACGAGGATGAACCTGACTTCTACGATATTAATGTCGTTGCCTGGGATCTGCAATGCACTGCTCTACATTTCGCTATCTTGGGCGGCCACATACCG